AAAAAAGTTTTTCTTTTTTTTTCTTTCATACACTAACTAAAGTTTTTATAATAAACTATATTCTAATGATAACTTCGCCAGCCAGTCAAGCCTAATAATACTTTAACTGACAGAATATTAAAGCTCTGAACAGTTCAGATTAATCTGAAAATTTTCAGTTCAGATCAACTTCGGTTTGGTTTCAGATTGCAAAAATTCAATCTGAAAATTTTCAGTTCAGTTCAAATTTTTTTCAGATTATAAATCTAATCTGAACTGAAAAAAATCTGAACTGAACTGAAAATTTTGGATTAATCTGAAATTTCAGATCATTTGAAACAATAAAAGAATCATTCAATTAAAATGAAATTATCGTTCTAAACGAATGATAAGAAAATTATTCGATTGAAACAATCAAATTATCATTCCAAACGAACAATAAAAAAATTCGTTCGATTGGAATGATGAAATTATCGTTCTAAATGAATGATAAAGAATCGTTCAATTAGAATGATGAAATTATCATTCTAAACGAACGATAAGAAAATCATTTGATTAGAACGATCAAATTATTGTTCTAAATAAATGATAAAAAAATCGTTTAATTAGAACGATCAAATTATCGTTTTAAACGAATGATAAAAATTTGTTTGATTGGAATAATGAAATTATTGTTCTAAATGAACGATAAAGAATCGTTCGATTGGAACAATAAAATTATTATTCTAAATGAACGATAAGAAATCGTTTGATTAGAATGATCAAATTATCATTCCAAATGAATGATAAAAGAATCATTTGTTTGAAACGATCAAATTATCGTTCCAAATGAACAATAAGAAAATCATTTGATTAGAATAATCAAAATATCATTCTAAATAAACAATAAGAAAATCATTCGATTGGAACGATCAAATTATCATTCTAAACAAACGATAAGAAAATCGTTCAATTGAAATGATCAAATTATCATTCTAAATGAATGATAAGAAAATTATTTGATTGAAACGATCAAATTATCATTCTAAACGAATGATATAAAAATCGTTCAATTGGAACGATCAAATTATCGTTCTAAATGAATGATAAGAAAACCGTTTAATTAGAATGATCAAATTATCATTCTAAACAAACGATAAAAGAATTGTTTATTTAGAACGATGAAATTATCATTTTAAATGAACAATAAGAAAATCGTTCGATTGGAACAATGAAATTATTATTCCAAATGAATAATAAAAGAATCATTCATTTGAAACGATGAAATTATTGTTTCAAACAATCAATAAGAAAATCATTCAATTAGAATGATCAAATTATCGTTTCAAATGAACGATAAAGAATTGTTCATTTGGAATGATGAAATTATCATTCTAAACAATCCAAAATTTTCAGTTCAGTTCAGATTTTTACCAGTTTACGATTCGGTTCAATTTTGAATTAGCATTTTTAAGATTTTTAATCTGAACTGAACTGAACTGAAATTTTTAGTTCAGTTTCAGATTGGCCTATAATCCAGACTGAACTGAACCGTTCAGAGCATTACGGAATATCTAGTGTCTTTTTATTAGAACATATATTTATTTAGTAAAAATTATTTTCTTTATCAAACCTCGGTACGATATGTGCTTCTTGACTAATAGAACCAATCAGAATTGTACTATATTCTTTCATGTAAAATAGTTGTGAACAACCATAAAGCTCAGGTTCTATTTGGTCAATATCAAACCAGCGAATAAGAGCAAGTTCATATAGTTCTTTGAATGACTCTCAAAAAAATTTAAATAGTAACAATACCTAAAAGATGTTCTGATATCTATTAAAGAAAAAATTGCATTCAACATTCTTTAAAATTTACTTACTTTTCCATACCATACGCCTTCATCTGAGTTGTATTGATCTTAATCTTCTGTAGGATTTACCACTACATTACTGAACTATTCTTTGCCCTAGTACCCTTCAGAAGTTCTTAAAATCTTACCACTTTCCAAATGAACTGATTCATAAATTTTAATATAAAACTTGTCACTTTCAGAATCCTGTGAAGAAGTATCTAGAAAAATATCTAGAGCTAAAATTATTTGGGATAATTCTTCGATAAAATTCATATGTGGCAGATTTTCTGATTTCTTAAAGTCCTTTATTTTTTGATCAATAGCATTTAGATGTAACTCCCAAAGAATTTTTCCAAATCCTTCAGTTTTATGTTGAACAACTTTAGGAATCGCCAGAGAAAATTCACTACATTTTGCCTATAATATTAATATACTAAATTAAAGATTAATTATATTTGATTATTTGGAATATAATGATATCTGTTCAGATTTATACTAATAGTGTTTATTAATTGACGCATCACATTTTTCCTGTTAGAAGACCGGTAAGGATTTTTGACATAATACTTGTGAAGAGTCTCATAAGTTTCTGTTGACAACCCATTTAATGCTCTATATTTGTAAATTGCAGGGATTAACAAAATCAGATTAGTTATGAGAATATATTTACAATTAACTAATATACAGTTATCTGTATGATATCGCTAACTATACAGTTTAGGAAAACTACATGTCATCGATAATAATGAAAAGAATATTCTCTTAAAGTCAATAGTCCAATCAATAATTAATTTCTGTTAACAGAATTTGTTAATATTTTGCTAATTTTAACTAAGTTTTAACTAAAAATATAATCAATTACCTCAAATTTTTTTATATCATTTTCTGTATATGATACTTTTCTGCTCGTCATATATATTTTACTAAATTTTGAATAAAGTTCACAAAGTTCATTGCATATTATTTCATTCCATTTGTCAAAGATATCATCCAGAGCAAAAAGAGTGATTTTCATTATATTTTGATAATCTGATGCAGTAGTCATTTTTAAATGACCTAGTTTACTTATCGGCGTAAGACCAGAAAAATGAGAAATATTACAAAGATGATCATTAAAAACTTTCTGTAACTCTGTTCCTCTGACTTCTTTTAGAATATCCTGTATAAATTCTAGTTGGTATTTAAAGAGCCCAAGATCAATGTGATACATCCGATCAGGAACGAGGCTTCGTAAATATTCAAATTTCTGTAAAATTTTATCAAAGTTCAGTTTAATTAATTTAAATATGCAAATATTTTATTAAAAGGTAATATTTACAAAAATTTCTAAAACGCGTTTTCAACAGAATGCACAGAAAAGTCCTTTTCTTAGCCTCTTCGTATAACTTTTTTGTTTTTATGAGTTCTGAGAGACATATTATCTAATGTGATACTCATATTATTTAGATCATTTCGCGAGACCATACAAGTATGATATGGCATTTTACTTCAGGCTGACTTATATGTTGCTGTTATTTTATTTGCTTCAAACATATCTGAAATAAAAAATGATATGTGAGCTGCAAACACATAGGCTGTCCTTTGACTCCAAAATATAACCCATTGAATTTCTCTAACAGTAGTCAAAGCATGATATCAAAACATTTATGGAATATTTTACATTGTAAAATTCTGAATGATTCAGAAGTTATGATTCCTGAATCCTGTATCTTAGACAAAAACCCTAAAAGAACTTTAGCTTCTGGTAGGTTTTGAAACCAATTTGAAAGGTTCTTAAGTGTTAAAAATACTGGGTGTCCAGATGTTTTTCCAAGTCCATCAAAGGTCATTACATCTGAATACAAAATAATAGATAACAGGCGATTTAAAGGTAGAAGAATTTTTTCCATTTTCAGCCACCAGTTATACTCAAATAATTCTCTGAATATTCTTTCGTTATCATCCTTTCTCAGGTTTCCTTTATGAACAAATTTTATCAGCTACTTCTGAATACTGTAAAATTGTCTGAATTGCATAAAAAATTGGTCGATAATAGAGGATAAAATCAATTCCGTTATAACTTGTAATATTTTTCTTTAAAATTTAGCAAAGGTGAATTGATTTGATTAAGGTAATCTTTACTATTTTTCATCAAACTTGGCAATGAAGAGATTTTCAAATTGCTATATTTATTGAAAAATTTTATTATTTTATCACCAATCTTATTAAAAACATTACCCTCTATTATTAACTCCATAAAATTGTAATACGCATCATTTGACCACATCGCTATATGCTCTGGTCTATTTTTTCCTTCGATAGCACCTAAAGCATTATCAAAAGATGCTCCTTGAAGATCTTCAGAGTTAAAATCATGATCAATATCCGTTCGTAAGTTTATTTCCATTTCTTTTATATTTTCTTCTATGTTATTTTCGTTCTTTGATTCAATTTGATTTTGTATATAATAATTCTGTAGTTTGCTTTCATGGATTTCATCTACTACATCCACTATATCAACATGTGATGTGAAGTTTTCTGCAAAAGAAGGCAAAGTTGACCCCAGTCATCTTGTAATCAGTGTGTTCCATAAGCTTGAATTATACTTCAGACTTTATGTTGATTTCTGTGATTCTGATGTTTGGAAAAGCGATGTTTTATTATGATATACGGCATTAGCATGTCATGTTAATCTACTTGAGAATGAAAAAACTCTCTTACAAATTTTGCAAAGAAATTTACCCATTGGAACTAAAATACATGAAATATTTTTCAATTATAAATCAACGATTTATTGAGAAAAATTCATTATGATGATTTAGATGATATTAAATAATTTTTACTTTAATTAATCCAGCTGATATTTTTAAATAATTTCTAAATATTTTTACTTTAATTGATCCAGATGATATTTTTAAATAATTTCAAAGTACTTTTAACTTTAATTGATTATTTTTGAGGTTTTACATCAAATTCCTCTGACATATTATTTTATATATTTAAGGCATGAAAGTCAATAATCTCTAATGATAATTTTTCTTGAATTAATTCTTTCTTTACTTATATATAATGATATTTTCTAAATAATTTTTTATTCAATATGCTAAACAATAAAAAAGGAAAAAATAGGTTACATGAAAATGAAGAAATATCTGTAGAAATAGTGCAAATGTAAAAAAAACCTATTACAAATAGTTTTTATAAATGATGACTTGTAGCAAAAAATCAAATAAAAAAGAGCAAGCAGGTTCGTATAAAAATTTATGCGAACAAATACCTGCTTTTGAGAAAGACTAAGAAACTTTGTCAACCAACCTATCAATAAATGATATTAACATAGAGCAGAGAAAATCAATCAAATCATTAACAAGTGACATAGATATAAGGTACAAAAAATTAACTGAACGAGAGCCTATAGACATGGAACTCGACAATGATTATTTTGATGATACCTTTAGAGACTCTGAAAAAGATCATAGTTCAATTGCTACTAAAGTTTTAACAACCTCACGAGGACTTGTGTCATCAACAAGCCTTATGAAAAAGGAATTTGATGTTACTATGGGTCTTTTTGATGCGAAAATTACCTCATTGTACAAACTTTGTAAGTATATTAGCAATAAGCAACAGAAAAACAGTAAAGCCTTGAAAAGACTTGTTGTACTTGATGAACTTTTAGAAGAATTTTGGAATGTGAGTAATTTAATATATTTAATAGTATTATTTTGACCTTTAAGATACTTAAAAGATTACTATGATTTTATAGCACGCATACAGGAAAGTAATTAAGAAATTATTACCAAATGTTTTATTTTCTTCTATTAGCAAATTTTGTAATATATTAGAAGAATTTCTCTCTGAACATGCTGCCTATTTTATTGAAAGTATCGGCAGAAACAGTTGGATTTCTATGTTCAAAGATAAGTTGTTATCAGAAGTAAGTTGAAATCCTAAAACTTTTAAAGAACTTCAAAAAATTATGATATTATTTCTTATATTTTTACATTTTTAGATTAAAAATAAATGTTATAGCAAACTTAATGATATCACGGCAAGTATCCGCCATGCATTATTTATTAATTTTGGAGATAAATTAGATTACATAGATAATAACACATCGGCTGCTAAGATTGTTGAATGGAAATCAAGTGAAAAAATGAAGGATGCTTACAATGCATTTTTTTATGACAATAAAATACTTATAGAAATAAGTTACATGGTATTTAAATAGTACAAAAATCAGGAACTTTCAACAACATATTGCATATACATTATCACTATATGTGACATTCTCTTAAATCTGAAAAGTCTTGAGATAAAATGTAACGATAAGTCTGTAGTGAAATGAGTGAATGCCTTCTTGGTAACTATATTTACAGTATTTCATATTCCAAATACTTCGTTCATATTAAAATACATATAACTTTGAAAATATTTATTAAACAACATGTATATAAAAATAATAGTCCCCTTACGCTGAAAATTATGGAGCAGATAGCTGAAGAGGAAGCTGAAGCTGCTGCTGCACAAAAAAAATGAACCAAATTGTCATCACAAGTTACAGAAAGCAAAATAATAGTGGAAGATGACGACAATTATGACAACTTAGTAAGCTATAATTTGTTAATAATCACTATACTTTGATTTACTTTTTTGTTATAGTAACCAATTAACAAATATTATATATTATTAGATTTCTGGGCTTGATCAAAATTTCTAAAATCTTAGAAGTTTTGCTACGCTAATCATATTAGTTTTTTTTTGTTAGATACAGTATATTATAAAATGATATTATTATTATTATATAAACTTTGAAGATCTATTCTATAAAATTCTGTATATAATTTTAATAACACAAAATTTTAAAGATTAATATTATAAAAATTTGCGTATAACTTTAATAACCTGAAAATTTCAAAGATTTATTCTATAAAATTCTGCATATAATTTTAATATCATGAAATTTTAAAGATTTATCCTATAATATTTTGCATATAATTTTAATAATCTGAAAACATGTACAGAAACTATAAAATTTTTTTCCAAAGTTTGGTGTTATGTCTTAAGATCTACATATAAAAATTAATTCGCAGACCTCTGCAAATCTGTGACCTAAAAATTTTCCCGATGATTACGCTATTTGAAAGTTATTATAATTAGCATTGGTATTAGAAGCGTTGTTATTGAATGTAGGTTGAGTAGTAATAAGTTGGGTTGAAACAATTCCAAATTCTATGTTTCCTATTTTGGCTATATTAAAGATATTAGATGTATTAGATTCTTATAAATATAATTTACTATTATTTTGTATTGTATTATTTCCAGTTTCAAATCTAGAAGAGGGGTTAGAACTTCCAGTATTTGTACTCGATGAGGAATTCATATTTGAAGGATTATTAGATTAGAAAGGATTGGAGATATTTTCAGTTGCTTTGAACATGATCTGCTTCAGTTTAGTTACTTTAGAAGTATTGATAAGATTCTCAATAGAAATAAATGCAATGGTAGTTCTCAACTTTCTAATAATCGTTTGATTAAAGATATTTGAAGTACTTGAATTTGACTAATATTCTTTATGTTCAAAAGAGGATGAAATATTATGAAAACCTGTAATTGAATTATCAATTTTTAGACCTTTATCTTTTGACTGAGAATAAATTATCTCAGTTGTAGTTTCTACTATCTCGTTACCACTATGTCTAAAATTTGGACTATCAATTGGGAAATATTCAAAATTCTCTTTTACAATTCTATCTACTTCAGCTTTATTAAAATTATAAGGACTATTAAGATATACTTGATCGTTATCTGATTCAATATCTGAATTATCTAAAATTACGATTTCTTGAGAAGAAGCTTTGATAGTAGTAAACTGAGATGATTGAGGCTGAAGCTGGCTAATTTCAGGCTCTGTATCTGTATTTGATAGTCTTCCAGATGTCTTTTCTGTGCTTATAAAAATATTTAAAGTATTTCTTCTTCTAGTAAGTTATATAGAAGAAGTATAAGACCTTCTGTCTCTAAGTTGATGTGTCTATTGAAGTTGAGAATTGCCCAATTTCTAACTAGTGTTATCTTTCTTTAAAGAAGTTACATTTAATTTCTCTTGTAATGAATAATTGTTGTAGATAATTGAAGACTGTATTCATGCAATAAATGGAGAAAGATTATTTATAAAACAATCAGTATCTATAAATACTGAAATTAATTGAGTAATCAGGGGTAATTCAGTTACAGTAGGATTATATTTGTAACTTTGAGTTAGAACACTAATCTGAGCAACAAGGGTCCTAAAAAGATCATGATCATTTAGATATGAATTAAACTCAGGAACAGTTTGACTAATAATAATAAAAAGGTTAAGAATAATGCCAGTATATCTATATGCTTTAAATTGGAGCTGATACCAATTCCACAGATTTTTAAAGTTTTCTGGTTCTGGGATATAAAGAGGATAACAAATTAAACAAGATAAATCTCTTTCAAGAAGTTCCTTTAGATCAATTTCTGGTCTGTGACTGAGGTTGTGTAGTTGGTTCTTTTGTCTAAACTTATTTAAATTCATAATTCTTAACTTTTCTTAAAAGTTTTTATTTCCTGGCAGGAATCACCAAATTATCATCAGATTTGTTTTCGTTTATCTTAACGTTTAAGTTGAAAGGCTACAGCAACTAATTCTACACGTTGGAGTTTCTGACCTTAGAATTTTCTCTAAGTCTTACAGGTATCTGTTATACTTAAATCAACTCGGCAATTTATCACATCTTAGAATTTAAGATATGTTAATTAAACTCATAATAATGAACTCAATAGCAAGTTAGTGTAGGTATCACAACAATCCTAAGTGAAGGATAACATTGAAGGAAAAAGTAGTTTGTATGGATTTAAATTGATTCCTTTATTTATAACTTGAAACTCGTATGAAACTTATAAACTTATAACTGAGTTAATTTACAACTTAAGCAAAAGCTATTCTATTTATACAAAATGACTTTGCTATGGCTAACTACTTATTACGTTATAAATTAACTAAATATAGATATATGTCTCAATAAAAATATACTTAAATATAATAAAATAATAAAAATAATATAAATTATAAAAATAATAAAAAGAAATAAATAAATTACAGATGTTAAAGAAATTACAGATGAAATAGAGTAAACAGAATAAACAGACTGTTTAAAAAATACAGAAATAACAAGCATATCAGGTAAAACAGAAATTATTGCTGATCACTGTTTGACACAGTAGTGACATCATCTAATGTGAGGTTATCATTAATTGACAGATCCTATGTGATATTTGGAGTTACAATTTCTTCTGTTGACAATATAGAGAATTTAATAGTAAAAATTTTGATTATTATGGAATTACTAATGAGAATTCATGTCTATTATGCAAGTTAGATCATAATGATGAGGAAGGTATAAAAGGTAGATATGAAGCCAGATCCTATTTTATTAAATGTGAATAGCGTGAAATTGAGATAGTTGTGTAGTCTCATTGCTTTATAATAGTCTGAATAACTCTTTGGGGTGATAATCTATCTGGAAATCTTAATCTTTTTTCAAAAAAATAGGTCTATATGAGAAAAAAAAGGATTTAAATTGACCGCAATTATATAAAATTAAGATATATCCAAGACTAATAAAATACTAACTTCTAAATATCTGGATTAGCATGCTAAATTAAGTGGATTACTAAGCGTTTTGATGGATAAGATTCAGATCAACTTATACAAAAAATATAAAAAAGAAACTGGGCATGAGCCATGGCAATTATTAGAAGATTGCCTTCTCATAAATTTGAAATCAGAAAATAAAGTATTCTATTTATCTTCTTCTGAGTAATGTGAAGAAAAAGGGTTTATCACTTTCAAAGTCAAACCTGATCCAGAATTAATTATTAAATCTATCTTAGAGCACTTCTCATACTTGAAATTCTGAAATAGTTTTAGAGGGATTGATAATTATAATTTTGCATCACCTTAGCTATGAAGCTCATTATGCTTTATCTGTGATGAAAAATATAGAAATTATAGATTACATGGTTTATGATATTACGAGAATGGAAATCAGCTCCCTTATGATTCTGAATTAGTAAAGTTATATTCTCAAGATAAGTTGGAGTATTGTCCTACCTGCAACACTTCAAGCAAATAAACTCAAATTTGCAATTGTAGCATAGAAGCTTTGTCATATACTCTCACGCTTGTATTTATTTTTTTATCACTTGCATGTATTAATAAAAGGACCGCTCTTGCTTATCACCTGATATGTAAAAATGATTGTAATTTGATATGATTGAACATTAAACATATCATATAAATCGTAATTATTGAGGGAATTAATAAAGTTTAAATTGAAAGAAGAGTTGTGAGTACGGTCTGGGTCAGCATTTAAATCTCCCATGAGAATAATATGTAGATTATTTTTAATGGTGTCATCTAATAATTGTTTTAAAAATTGAACAGACTGTTTTGTAACATTAGTTGAAGAGTTGGCAGGAGGGATGTAACAATTAATAACTATCAATTTTTATTTGTTCACAAATTGTAATTTTGCATAAATAATTCTATCTAAATTGGAGTTGTAAGCAAAGATGTGCTTAGCTATTAATGGGCTGAAGAAGAGACTAATGCCTGTTCTAATTGATTGGGAATATTGGTTATTGCTAAAAAAAGTAATATAATCAGGAAAATCTCAGTTGAAAATAGATGAGATTTCTTTAAAATTTGTTTCTTGTAAACCTATAATGTTAAATTGATTAACTGAGTATAGGGAGAAAAGGTAATTTTATTTTGCAGGATTATTGAGTGAATGGATGTTATGTGTTACAATTCTAAGATTTGAAAGTGAAGGAGTATTAAAACTAGAGATATTTAGGTTATTAGTAGTAAGGACAATAATTATTATAAAAATAAAATCAAAGTTGGTGACTGCCGATGCAATGTTCTATTGCCTTATCAAAATCATCTGTTAATGGTTCAAAAACATGCGTATCATGTTTATTGAGAATATTTTTGTTAAGAAGGGTGGTTTAAAAGTCATGACAAGACTTTAGGAGTTTGTTAAGTATAGGAGTGAACTCTGATATACATTATTATTATTTTTGACAGATAAGTACCAGTTGTTCATTTGTTTGATTTTGCAAATGGGCTGTATAAAAATTGATATTAATAAATGGGGATTTTTGGTCTACTTCAGTAGCAGATTCTGGTAAATTGTTGTTAAAATCCTCTGTTTCTGCAGGGATGATGACTTTGATATTAAGGGCTTTTCTAACAACAGCCAGTCGTTACTGTAAAAACTTAAATTCGATAAAAAGGTCAATGAGTGTATTTGAGATAAAAGTGAGCTGAAAGATAACGAATTGTTTAAAATCTGGATCATAGATTGAACCATCTTTTGAAGTACTATTTGTTACATTTGGGATAGGAATAACTTCAGTTTTTATAAATTCATATATAAGATCATCTGTCTATTGTAATTTTGGTTTGTCATTAAAAGATCTGTTAGAAGAAATATTATTTTTGGCTTTAGATGGTGGGGGTGGAGGGGGTCTCTTTTTAGGGCTTTTCTGAGAATTATTAATTTACTGTAGGGTCTTAGTCACATGAGTGAAGATGATATTTTCACGAATTGCATCTCGTATCAGACTATGTTTAGGTATTGTGTAATTATTGAATTGAGCGGGTTGAAATCTTTGGTAAAGATTTTGCATGTTGCGATTCTTAGGAGATTGATGACGTTTAGGACAAGAAGAGGCATTGTGATGTGCAGATGAACAAACTGCGCAGAGTTTAACTTTTGGATCAGTCTATTCTAATTTTTTGTTGTTTAGAGTTAAATTTTTAATTCCCATAGCTGTCTGGATATCGTATTTATTAGAAAAATAAAAGAATATATGTTGCAGATAGTTATAATTAAAGCGAGCTCTAGGAATAATTCACGCAGTGATAAAGACTATATTTCCAATGTCTTGTAAGTCACATAGCGTAATATTTCTAGAAAGATTGGTTAATTTTGCTGAAAAAACAGAATGAACTTAAATGTCAGGCCTAGATAAACTACAAGGATAGTAGCAGATCATATCATTTAAAAGATATATTCCATCTCCTTTTTTAAATCTTTAAAATTGGCATTTTCGTCAAAGGTAATGGTGATTCTTTGCCAAAGGTTTTTTGTTTTCATAGTAAAATGAACGATATTACCGAATTTGGAAAATAATTTACGTAATCTTAATTTAGTGACGTTCAAGAGAATTTCTGTGATCATGATCGACCGATCAGATATATAGGGGCAGATTTTTTAACGTCTAAGGGTTAAAACGTAGTATTGTTCATATTGGGAGATTTTAAATTGCAAAAATCATCATGTTCAACTTTTTCTAAAAAGGCAACTTTAATAATAGCCTGATTGTGATCGGTAGGATGTCTTCCTTTTGTGACAATGATAAATGAGTTGTACTTATCATAGCACAAATCAGTGATTGTTGAGATTTTCATTTAGAAGTTCAAGCCACAGAATTTATCTATTTGAATATACGCGAAATATTTGGTAACTTGAGTTGAAGAGGCTTCGAAGCAGATGGTTGAAGTATCTAAGATGTTTTCTGACGCGTTAAAAGACTCGTCGACACTAACGGTTGGTTTAGGTGCAGTAGTTTCAGAAGTTGAGGTAATATTTTTAGGACTTTTTCCTTTATTGAGGTTATTGTTTGAACCTTCCTTGACTGGGTCAACTCCTATTATGTTAGTTTCTAACGGAAGGACAGTTGTAGTGGGCTCCTTTACATAAGTAAGAGAGAGGTCATTATCTAAAGTTTGTTGAGTATTTTGTTTCTTTTTTGGTAACTTGTCAGATATTAGTGACGCAGAGTGACTGCGGTTGGTATTCTTCCTTTCAGTTTTTTTTGGTATTTTGCAGATTTGTTGAAAAGCAGTTATACGAATTAAACTTTTTTACATGTAATACTCATATAGATATTACCATACCTGATATTTATTCTATATTCAATTAAAATAAGATAAAAAATATAATAAAGATACTTATGGAATATGAATATACTTTATAAGCTAAATAAGATAAACATTATACTTATTTATTTTGTAATAATAGTCTAATAAAATCTCGTATAATTATGTATTGAATTTTTAAAAAATCTCTTAACATTATTAAGGGTTTTTATATCACGTGATAATTTTAAGCAAATCAAGATTGCTGAAATTTTGCATGATAGGCTATCATTGAAAATAAAGGTAGCAAATTAATCGCGCTATCTGTCATTTTTTTTACACTATTTCAGCCAACATAGAACTGGTAACTAAACTAGCATAAAGGTGTCAGTACTCTTATTATAGAATCAGGCATTTAAAGAAGACTGAAAAGCTAGTATTAGCAATAAAGAATTTATTATCTAAATGAATTAGGAATAAGAAGAAAGCAGCACCATTAGATTATGACATCACTATTAAATTAAAGCACTACCAGTCATTATTAAATTATAAAATCACTACCATATTATATAGGAAAAGATTAAAATAATACTATAAATACAAAGAAGCTACCCAAAGAATAAATCGAGTAGATTATAAAGTCACCATTAGATTGTGATATTAGATTATGAAATTACCACTAGATTATGTAATTAGATTATAAAGTTATCAGCAGACTATGAAGTTAACATTATATTATAAAATTATCAGCAGACTATGAAGTTACCATTATATTATGAAGTTACCACTATATTATGAAATTACTGACAGACTATGAAGTTATTTTCATAACCTAATCTAAGTTGAATTTGACTTTATGATATAATTATATCATGAAGTCACATGCGACTAGTTTATAAATTTATCTATATAATTGATTAAAATTTTTTTACAAAGTATAGATAAATTAGTATTAATAGTTTATCTTATAATCAAATTAAATGATTTAAATAATGAATTATAAGTAAATTAATTTATTATTTTATATAATGCTAATAGTTTTTTAATATATCTTTTCTTACATATATATAAAATTTCAAAACTCTTACTTAGAATATATTAATATAGATAGAAAAGTTTAAATAATATAAATTTAATATTAAAGAGAATCAAATAGAAACTTGAAATACATTATCCTATAAAAAGTATTTAATTAAGCTTTTTTGATTTTTTTTTAAAATTAAATATATTATAATTATATTTTTTTTAAAAAAAAAGATCTAATTATGACAATTGATTATTTTTTATTTATTTTACATTAAAAATATATATATATAATTTGATAATATAATTATAAATAATAATCAATTTTATAATATTAATTTTAGTATTGATTATTTACTTTTTATTGTATCATTTATAATATGGGAGTGTTTCTAGGAAAATCAGGTTCTGAGAAATTTTTGACTAAAATAAAGAGCTTAATACATTTTAATCTAATAACATCAAAAACTAAAATGCAATAAAAATCTCAATTTTGCTAAAAAATTCCCAGAACCTGATTTTCCTAGCAATCAACCCATATATTTTAAAATAAAAAATATTATAAATTAATTTTTTAAATTAGCTTTTTCAATTTCTAGATCTTAATTTTATTAAGAATTTGTAATATAAACTTGAAAGAAGACTTTATAAAAAAATCAATTTTACATTAAAGTATAAATATTATCTATTCTATGATACTTTTTTAACTTATTTAAATATATTATAAAGTATTATAATAACATAATTATACCTGATGCGATTGGACTTTCTACTTATAAAATGTGCCATAACATATTACACCCATCTAGAGATTTAATGAAGCTCGGATAGAAAAGAGGATTTGAAAATGAAGACGGTTTAATTGAAGTATGTATCAAATAACGCACATGAATATACCCCTCCCTCAATTTGCAATTAAAAAGGGATTTTCCAAAGCAAGGGAATTATCATCTTACACAAATTTCGATCGACTAGAACGCATGAATAAAGTGAATTAAAATTGTTTCATAAATATTGCACGATGTAATTTGAAGAACGACCTTTGAAAAATGCATTTGCTTTATTAATGAAGTCATCAACAACACTCTATCTTCCAGAGTTTAATCCAATACTGAAATGCATTGGATACAATACTTTAATATTATTTTGTAACGTGAAATAAAATTTATCATTATAAAAAATCATTTTATGTCTTTCAAAGAAAGTGACCCGGAGGGGTACATGAAGAGTTTGCGTGACCTTAGATACGTTTTTTTTTTTTTTTATTTTATCATCATTTTATAAATTAATTATTTCTTTCTTTTTTTTTTTTTTTTTTAGGTATGTTCTTACAATTTGCATAATTTTTTTTATTAACGTTAAATTATCTTTTTTATATATAAACAAATTTTCGAATTTCGGAGGATGGAGGTACAATATTCTTGCCAAAATCAATAAACGTGTGACAAATCATCGATAAATTCCAATCCGTAGTACCGGTTACTGTTTTGATGAAAATATCTAAGGCTAAGGTTTCATTATAAAAGACAACGGTAAAAATCCTTTAACAAGCTATTGGAAAAAGAATCAAATTTGTCTGAAATAAAATATTTCAAAAAGTATTATACCTGATATAATAAATTTCTTTGAAAGAAATTTTTAAGCTTCAATGTATCGTATAATCCATTTTTCGCCAGGGGGCCAATTTTGAAATGAACAGGGCTATAGTTTAATATTACAATATATAATATATATATACTGATAAATCGATTTTCGTCATCATTATGTTTACATATGGAGATGGATTGAGCCAATAGAATTTGACCGAAAAGTTTATGTCATAACAAGCGTTAAAAACCCCTTTTGCTTGAAAACAAAAAAAAATTTCACTTCTTTCCACTTCTCCAAGACCGGAAAATCAACAAGGAGGTATATTTTCTATTTATTTATTATTTATTATTTGTAATTTTTTTTTATTTACTTTTCAAGTATAAGGCTTAAACATTTTTCTATATACAATATAAAACGACTGTTACTGAAGATTTCCGAGTTCTTTGGTACTGCCAAAGACAAAGAGAAGAATAGAGGTTTGCCTATGGCCAAGTAACCCGGTTTCCAGTCCATCCAGCTTTATTTTCCTCAGCTTGATTTTTCCTGTGAAGAAATTGTCAAAGCGGGTAATGATGGACCAGTGGTTTTAATAATCATTATATCGAGTTAGCAGACGTTTTGCCTGCGGCTATAATAACCGGTTCTACCGAGTTATCGGGCGTTTTCCTGTGGCATGAATACGCGGTTACCAGTCCATCCAGCTTTATTTTCCTCAGCTTGATTTTCCTGTCCTGTGAAGAAATTGTCAAAGCGGGTAATGATGGA